TTTAATTACTAACTACCATAAAAAATTGCCTCGTTTTCCTGGTGTGGTGGTGCATGTCTTTAATCTTAGTATTCAGAAGGCAGAGACAGGTGAGTTCAAAGCCAGCCTTGTCTACATAGGTAGTTCAGACTGGAAATTCCAGCTGCTTAAGAAACTAAAGCCTGTGTAGGCTACAAAGTGAGTTCCAGCCCAGCTTGAATTAGAAAGAGCTTGTTTTAAAATAAAAATAACAAGAGGAACTGGGGATGTAGTATAGTGGCAGAGAATATTTTCAAGAAAAAATTTTTTTGGAACACAAATGGAATATATACTTTGCAGGATGTCTGGAAGTCAACTGATACCAAAACTATGTATGGTATTCACATGGTTTTGTTGTTGTTTTAAGACAGTGTCTTATTTGCTTTCCTGAAACTCCCTATGAAGACCAGGCTGACCTGGAATTACAGAGATTTACTTGCCTCTGCCTCCTGAGTGCTGGGAATAAAGGTATGTGCCATGAAACTCAGCCAAGTATTCTTAATACTGAAACCACAACCAAGAAGGATGCGGTGGCATAATTTGTAATCCTGACTCTTGGAAGGCTAGCCTGGGTTACATAATGATACCCTATCTCAAAAAACATAACCATAGGTGGGCGGTGGTGGCAGATGCCTTTAATCCCAGCACTTGGGTGACAGAGGCAGGCAAGGTCACCAAATTGGAGGCCAGCCTAGTCTACAAAGTGAGTTCCAGAACAGCCAGAGCTATGCAGAGAAACCCTGTCTCAAAAAGCAAAACAAACAAACAAAAAACACTAACCATAGCCAAAGCCCAACTAGTAGATGAACAAACACCACCAAAGCTGTCCAGAGCTCATGTTGGCAAGGGTGCCCTCCAATGGGAGTGGCAGACCCATAATAACTGGGAAAAAAACCACACCCCAGGGCCACAGCTCCATTTCTTTTTTTTTTTTTTTTTTGGTTTTTTGAGACAGGGTTTCTCTGTATAGTTTTGGACTGTGTCCTGGAACTCGCTCGGTAGACCAGGCTGGTCTCGAACTCACAGAGATCCATCTGCCTCTGCCTCCTGAGTGCTGGGATTAAAGGTGTGCGCCTCCAACGTCCGGCCACAGCTCCATTTCTAATTCTAGAAATTTCTGGCAGGTTTCACATGTGTCCTGGATAAGGAGATGGGGACAGAGTGGGGATATTTAGTAGTGCTAACAGAATGAAATAAGTAAGCTGTCCATTTGTAAGATGTAACAGAAGTTAAGGAGAGTAAATGATAGCAGATGATATACAAGTTGGAGTTTTATCTTTTCAGCCTGAGAGTAGTCGCACACACCTTTAATCCCAGCCCTCGGGAGGCAGAGGCAGGTGGATCTCTTAAATTCAAGGCCAGCCTGGTCAACAAAAAGAGACCCTGTCTCAGAAACAAATTGGGGTTTCTTTCTTCTCTGTGCATATTCAGTGTGTAAATAAGTGAGGGTGTCATCGTTGATCACTTCTGTTACCATATCCAACACCTAATTCTGTACTAGCACTTGTTCGTGTGTATTTATGAACAGTGTGGTGTGCTTTGGACAGTCTAGCCTGGCGTGATAAAAAGCATAGGTAGAAGGCATTCATCTCACTATTGTTAGTTGCTACCATGAATGTTGCAGTAGTCATTTTTCTCTTGCTGTAATAAAACACCATGATCAAGGCAACATACAGAAGAAACGTATGGTTCTTGAGGAGGGAGAGTGCGTAGTGGTTGGGAAGCGTGGCAGCAGGTGGCAGCCATGGAAACAAGAGTAGCAACCTGAGGGCTCATGTTTCAATGCAAGCATGAAGTAGAGAGTGAAATGAATGATGGGAGGCTTTTAATCCCCAAGTTCATCCCCTGTAACACATTCCCTCCACCTAAGGTCATGCCACCTAAGTCTTCCCAGACAACTCCACCAGCTTGGCGCCTAAGTGCTTGTGGAGGAAATTTCTCATTCAGACTTCCACAAGTGCATGTCGCATGTAATTCTGAGTGTGCACATGAGAGTCTAGAGCTGAGCTTTCTCATTACTCTTTAACATCATTTGAAGATTTCCAAGGCCGTTTTTTATGATTTATTGCATTTTCACTCAAATGAACCTTTTTACCACCCTGACCCTAGACACATTCTCACTGGTGCCCAGGGTTGACCTGGTACTAGCTATGCACACCAGGCTAGCCTCAAATTCTCCAGATCCTCATTACACTCTCTTGTGTCTCCTACTTGTGTTGATTGTTTTCTTTTTCCCAGTTTTTATACTACTAAAGGAAATGTCTCTTCCTCCCCCAGCAACCATTAATACATACAGATCCTCAAGGAGTGGATAGGCCTCATGAGTCTTTCTTCCTCAGCTGCTAGGTAGTGGCTTATAACTCCTCAGACATCCCTCTCGCTTCCAGAAAAGATACTGATGCGCCAGTATTGTGCAAGTATATTTTGCAGGTAACCACAGGTGCTGTGAATTCACTTTCATGATGTCTAGATAGAATAGGCAGATAGTTTAATCCACTCAAAAGGCAGAGACAGGTGAATTGCTGTGAGTTGAAGGCCAGCCCAGTCTACAGGGTGAAGTCCAGGACAGCCAAGGCCACACAGAGAAACCCTGTGTCAAAAAACCAAAACAAACAAAGAATAGGTAAATAGATGATAGAGTGCACGTGCATGTGCATGTGTGTTATACACGATGTGTATTGCAGAGACCAGACAAGTGTATCAGGTGTTCTGCTGAATCACTCACTGTGCCTTATCTCTTTGAGACAGGGTCCTCTATACCTGTAGTGAGGCTTGGAGTCAACTGTGTTGTCTCAACTTCCCCATAGAACTGGAGTTGTAGGCACATGCTAGGATCAGAACTCAGGTCCCCATGCTTACGCAAGCATTCTTACCCACTGAGCCATTCCTCCATCCAGTAAGTAGTGATATAAACCACACCCTTCAAGCCTTGAAGTTTCTCCCAGGTTATGAACAACACTCAGTGCTGTCCCATTTGGGTTTTTCCTGTGGATGTAATAACAAAATCTAGTCCACTCTGATTTCCCCCTTTGAAATACCAAAGGAAGTCACTCACCAAAGCAGTAGTAATTCAGGTGAGCATCAGACTGTCATTCTGATTTGAACAGTACCTTAGTGGGAAAGGGTATTGTGTTTTGAATGTGAAATGCCCCCCATACTTCACATGGTTGAACACTTGGTCTCCACGAGGTGGTAGATTGTTGAACCTTAAGAGGTGAAGACTTACTGGATGGTGTGGAATACTGGGGGGCCCTGAGCCTTTACTGTGGGTCCCACTTCCTTTTCGTTCTCTGTTCCCTGAGTGTGTATGACCAGCCATCATCCTGCTCCTGGACCATGCCATCTCTGCTTGCTGTTGATTCTTCTTTCCCATGATTGACAATATTCCTCTGAAACTGAGTTTGAGGCCAACCTGGTATACATAGCAAGTTCCAGATCAGCCAGGGTTACACAAAGAAACCCTCACTCAAGAAAAAATTTTTAAAAAAAGACAAGCAACTTGAGAGAATGGTTTATTTACTTCTCAAGTCCAGATTGCAGTTAGTTACTGCAGAAAAGTAAAGGAAGGGCTTGAAATGGAGAGTCATATCACACCCATAGTCAAGAGCAGGGAGAAATAAATATATGCATGCCTAACGCTCAGCTTACTTTCATCTCTTACTCATCCGGGACCCAAGCTCAGGGCCTAGCAGCACCAACTTTTAGGCTGGATTTTCTCATATCAGTTAACACAACCAAGACACTCCCCACCGACATGACCACAGACCAACCCAATATGGTCAGTCCCACACTGAGACTTACTTCCCAGGTAGCTAGAGATTCTGTAAAGTTGACAACTATAGCCAACCAACACAGTTCCTTTAAACAGAACAATAGACAGCAAAGGCTGTACTGATACACTTTTAATCAGAAGAGAGGACATCTGGTTGGAAATGGGAACTTGCCATCCTCATTACAAGTGGACAGGTCACAGAACAGAACTTGAGAGTGATGAACTGGTATATTTGGAATTAAGGCCTCAGCTAGTGTTTGAGCAGCTGCATGGCTTCTGTTATTGGGGAGTGAAAATGGGCATATGACTGTTCCAAAGTATGGTTGAGGAGAACGGTTTTATTGTAGATATGAGGGAGAGTTCAGTCTGAGGCATCTGGAAGGGTCCAGACTGAACCAGGCCAGAATAGGAAAGTGTGGGAGGGGAGAGATCAAGAGAGGAAGAGAAGAGAGCCAAGAGGGCAGAGACTCAGGGGAGTCCACAAGGAGCAAGAAGACCAAGAGAGCATGTGAGAACCAAGAGTGTGTGGCCAACATGGCTGGTTTATAAATGATCAGAAGCCGGAGAAGGGAAGTGAAGCCCAGCCCCTGGGCTGGAGAGGTTTGGGATAGGGTGTGTATGAGAGGTGCTGGGAGGAGCCATGGGTACTGAGTGAGATTTGTCCCGGGTTTCTTTTGGACCTGACAACTGGGTGCTAAGGAAATGCAGGAGAAAGGGACATAAAAACTGTTACTGTAATCAAAGGGCAAGTCGAGTGGATAGTGGATAGTTCTTATGAGTAATGTCATGTAATATAAAGCCATGCTAGTCCATCATTCACCTCATATAATCTCATTGAATGTATAGCAGCTATGTGACATTACACCAGCCCAAGAGGAAAGATGAATGCAGTGTACTGTGACATATTGAGAAAGAAACGGACTCACTAGATATTGTTGTTATAGTTCTGTTTCACTATTATATATTGTTGTAAATCTCTTCTTGTGCCTAGTTAGCAAATTAAAGTTTCTCATATATATGGGTAGGGAAAACCGTAGTATACATTACACTAGCTGCTAGCCTCTATTTTTGTCTTCCACCGCAGATCTTAGGACATATCTTCTTCAGATACTGATCACTACTATTTATTTGTTTACTATTCTTATTTGTACTTTTTACAATTTTGTATACACATCTTTTGATCTTCACCACCCACTTGGTCATCCCCATC